TTTTGACGCATGCTTTCCGCTGGAATAGAACCAGATTCTATTCCAGCGTCAACGTAACGTCAGGACTAGCGTAATATTGTAAATCCGCCTTTAATCATCATCAAGAGCACTCACCTAATTAATTAATCAATCAATTAATTAATTAATTAATTATTCATGACTGACTCTTGGTTCCAGCTGCTCTGTTTCTTCCAAAATATGTCTCTTCTAAAAATAAATATAACGTAATATTAACATTAATTAATAGTTAAGGAAATATTATGATAATTAATGAACCTGTATTCTTGGTAATATCACATCACAGACTCTGTCCTCACGCAGTAAACTGTCAACAAATTCATCAACATGAGATAATTCAAACTCTAAACAAATAAATAAATAAATTAATTAATTAATGAATAAATAAATAAATGCGCTATTTATAAACTTGCATTCTTACTTCCTTGTCTATTTTTATATTTTATTTTCCTGTAATCATTATACAGAGGCTCAAGGTATTTATAACATTCAACAGAAGTACCAACAATCCTCAGATACAGTGCCCCCAGGGCCCTCACGTATCTAAAAATAGTAACAATAACATAAGAATATGTATATGCATCAGATAAAATTATAAAAATGGAGAATTCTCTCCTTTTCAATTTTGGCAAAATTTGGTCCGAGACTATGTACTATAGTACAGGGATTTTTTCAGAATTTTGCTGTTTTCTTAAAATGACTGTAACTTGAAAAATTGAAGTCGGAATCAGTTCAAACTTGCTACACAGCATAAGGATATCAATATGTATCAGTAAGTATAATAAAAAGTTGGGGTGATTTTGGAGCCATTTTTTGGAAAAAACCATGGGCTATAAGTACAGGGATCTTTTCAGAACTTTGACGTTTTCTTAAAATGGACGTAACTCAAAAAAGCAAAGTCAAAATCAGCTCAAACTTGCTACATAGCATTAGGGCATCAATATGCATTAGAAAATGTAATAAAAAGTTGGGGTGATTTCAGAGCCATTTTTGGAAAAAACCATGGGCTATAGTACAGGGATTTTTTCAAAATTCTGGCATTTTCTTAAAATGGCTGTAACTCAAAAAAGCGAAGTCAGAATCAGCTAAAACTTTCTACACAGCATAAGGACATCAATATGTATCACAAAATGTAATAAAAAGTTGGGGTGATTTTGGAGCTATTTTTTGGAAAAAACCATGGGCTATAGTACAGGGATTTTTTCAGAATTTTGACGTTTTCTTAAAATGGCCGTAACTTGAAAAATTGAAGTCGAAATCAGCTCAAACTTGCTACACAGCATAAGGACATCAGTGCATAATAAATAAGTACATTATTAATTAATTAGTAAATTATTATTAATTACTTGTAGTCAGGGTTCTTAATGAATTCAATGACTATGTCCTTATTTGGTTGTATCTGGAGCATCTTTAAAATTAAACATAAAAATGGAGTCGGTTTGATGTTCCCTCCCACTACTCCTCCCACATAATCCAACGCCATAGCTTCATCAACTAACAGCTCAGCTATAAATAAAATTAATAAACACACTATCAGTATATTTATACATTATTGGTGAGTCTTTATGCTATTGCTAGTATTCCATTACCTGTTAGTGCAAAGCACTTCTCCTTCCAATACTGGCAGT